GAGAATAATTTTTCTTCCTTCTCCTTTTAGGTACTGTTATGTCCCATCTCATTCTTCTCTTTTCCAGACTAAACAAACCCAGTTTTTTCAGTCATCTCTCATAGACCATATTTTCTAAACTTTAATTATTTTTGTTGCTCTTGCGTGGACCTTCTCCAATTTTTCCACCTCTTTCCTGGTGTGGTGCACAAAACTGAATACAGTACTACTAATCAGTACAGTGTGGAGCAGAAGAATTACTTCTTGTGTCTTGCTTACAACACTACTGTTAATGCATTCCAGAAAGATGGGTTGTTTTTGGTGACATTGTCACACTGTTGACTTATCTTTAGCCTGTGGCCCAGTATGGCCCATAGATCCCTTTCTGCAGTACTTCTTCCTAGACCAGTGTTTCCCAATCTTTTCAAGAATACAGACCCCTTTTCAATTTATTAAAATTTTACGGACCCCCCCCCACAAACGATATATCTGTTTTCAAACATTCCATTACTTGATAATGTCCTTTGGCCCATGCTTCTTCCTCAGCTCCGCCCCCTCTGTTCCCTATCCATCCATGGATGATACAGCAAGGGGGCTCTCGTGGCCAAAGGCAGCTCCTCCCTGGCACTCCACCCTTGGCTGTGCATGGAGCCCTGGGGGAGAATAAATAAAGAAAAGGAAAAGTAAGGATTAGGCCCACCATGGGACTGGGAGGGGGAAAGGGCTGGAGTGTAAATGGCAGCGCAGCTGGCAGTGGGATGATGGATGGCTGTGAATATCAAGCCACAGGTGAGTGTTGCCTGGTGGAAAGTCCAAGTGTTGCGGAGGACCTGATTCTTACTTTTAAACTTCCCATGGATTGCCTACAGTACTATTGTGGACCACCAAGGGTCCTCGACAGTCATTTACCATTTTGTATATGTGAAATTGAGTGTTCCTCCCTAAGGGGAGTACTTTACATTTGTCCTTCTTGAACTTCATCCACAAACTTTATAAATGTACTCTCTGTGCTACCATCTAAACTATTGATGAAGTTATTGATCAGAACGAGTCCAAAAACTGATCCCTGCAGAACCATACTTGTTATTCCCTTCCAGCATGACTGTGAACCACTGATAACTACTCTCTGAGAATGGTTATCCAACCAGTTCTGAACCCAACTGAGGCCTAATCAGTGCAGAATAGAGCAGAAGAATGACTCCCTGTGTCTTGATCACAACACTCCAGTTAATGCATCCCAAAATTATGTTTGCTTTTTTTGCAACAGTGTCACACTTTTGACTCATATTTAGCTGGTGGTCCACTATGACTCCTAGATCCCTTTCTTCAGTCCTCCTTCCTAGACAATCACTTCCCATTCTGTAAGTGTGAAACAGATTGTTCCTTTCTAAGTGGAGCACTTTGCATTTGTCCATATTAAACTTCATCCTATTTACCTCAGGCCATTTCTCTAGTTTGTCCAGATAATTTTGAATTATGTCCCTATCCTCCAAAGCACCTGTACCCCCTCCCAGCTTGGTATAATCTGCACATTTAATAATCGTATTCTCTATGCCATCATGTAAATTGTTGATGAAGATATTGAACAGAGCTGGTCCCAAAACAGACCGCTGTGGAACCCCAATTGTTATGCCCTTCCAGCATGATTGTGAACCATTAATAACTACTCTCGGAGAATGGTTATCCTGCCAGTTACGCACCCGCTTTATAGTAGCCCCATCTAGATTGTATTCCCCTAGTTTATTGATAAGGTCATGTGAGACTGTATCAAATGCTTTACTAAAGTCTAGGTAAACCATGTCTACCATTTCCTCCTTATCCATCAGGCTTGCTATCCTATCAAAGAAAGCTATCAGATTGGGTTGACATGATTTATTCTTGAAAAATTCATTCTAACTGTTAACTATCACCTTATTATCTTCCAAATGATTTCAGATCAATTCCTTAATTATTTGTTCCATTATTTTTCCTGGCACAGAAGTCAAGCTGACTGGCCTGTGGTTTCCTGGGTTGTCCTTAGTTCCCTTTTTATAGATAGGCACTATACTAGCCCTTTCCCAGTCTTCTGGAATCGCTCCCTTCTTCCATGACATTTCAAGGATGATAGCTAATGGCTCAAATACCTCCTCAATCAACTCCTTGAGTATTCCAGGATGCATTTCATCAGGTCCTAATGACTTGCAGACACCTAACTTTTCTAAATATTTTTTTTTCCTATTTTAACTTCTGAACCTACCTGATTTTTACTGACATTCACTATGTTAGGTGTCCAATCACCACCAACCTTCTTGGTGAAAACTGAAACAGAGGACATTAAGCACACCTACCATTTCCACATTTTGGCTATGTTTAGACTACGGGTTTTTTCCAGGATACCTTTGGTATCCCGGAAAAACTCTGCCATGTCCTGGGAACACGTCTGCTGTTCCAAAAGAGGGTTTTTTCCCCCCAAATTTGGCCCAATGTAGATGAGCACTCCGCAATTTGCATGCCTTTTTCCGATAAAGCCTAGTAGTGTAGACATAGCCTTTCTGTTACTGTTTTTCCTTCTTCACTGAACAATGGGACCACCTTATCTTTGATTTTCCTCCTACTTCTAATATTTGTAAAATGTTTTCTTGTTACTTTTTGTGTCTCTAGCTAGATTGAGCTTGTTTTGTGCTGTCGCCTTAGTAATTCTGCCGTTACATACTTGTGTTATTTGTTTAATTCATAATTTGTACTTTGATCTAGTTTCCACTTTTTATAGCACTCCTTTTTTATTTTTAGATCATTCAAGATCTCCTGGTTAATCCAACGTGGACTCTTGCTAAACTTTCTTTCTTTTCTACGCAGAGGAATAGTATACTCTTGAGCCCTTAATAATGTCCCTTTAAAAATTGCTAATTGTCTTCAGTTGTTTTTCCTCTGAGTCTTGCTTCTCATGGGACCTTACCCACTAGTTCCCTGAGTTTACTAAAGTCTGCCTCTTGAAATCCATTGTCTTTATTTTGCTGTTCTCCCTTCTACCGTTCCTCAGTATCATGAACGCTATCATTTCATGTTTACTTTCACCCAAGCTGTCATCCACTTTCAAATTTTCAACCAGTTCCTCCCTATTTGTTAAAATCAAATTTAGAACAGCCTTTCCCCTAGTGGCTTTCTCCACCTTCTGAAATAATATAATTGCCTCCAATACATTCCAAGAACTTGCTGGATACTTTGTGCCCTGCTCTGTTATTGTCTGGAGAGTTGAAGTCCCCCATCATCACCAAGTCCTGCACTTTAGATAATTTTGTTAGTTGTTTAAAAAAGCTTCATCTATCTCTTCTTCCTGGTTTGGTGGTCTGTAATAGACCCTTACCATGACATCACCCTTATTATTTACTCCCTTTTAATCTTACCCAGAGACTCTCAACAAGTCTGTCTTTTGTCATATCACTCCTCCACACCTCCTGTCATGTGTTGTCTGCTTTGTTTCAGTGGAGTTGGAATAGTGGTATCCAACTTCTGAATGTAGAGTACAGATTATCTGGAAGACTCTCCCTCTTACCTCCAGAACTAGAATTTGATTAGTCAGAAGGCTGCATGTGATGGCCATGAGACATTAGTATTTGATCCAAAATGGAGAAAGTTCAGGGGATTAACTGCCTGGAGGAAATAGCCTTTGCAAGTAGTGTGGAGCTGGCCACTCCTCAAGAGGCTCTGCTTAGTCTGTAGCAGCAATCGGAGGATGCTGATCCCGTTTTCACTTCTCTTTTACTTGCTCTTATTCTCTTCCAAAGTCTGCCACCCATACACCATTCACCATTCACAAACTTCATCCAGCTCCCATTCATATCTTGCTAAAAACTGCTTATTCTGTATGTCACTCTCCTAGAAGCAGTCAAGATTTTCTCTTCCTTTCCTTTGCCCAGGTGAGAAGAGGGAAGCAGGATCCAGGAAAAGCAGGATCATCACCCCAGATCCTTTACAAGAACCCAGGAGTTCTTCTCATGGAAGTGTAGAAAAAGGGGTGTACTTGCCCTCTGCTCTCCTTACTACTGAGGTGGAGAAGCCTGGATGTTTAGCCAAGACAACACCCAGTGAAGGCCAATCTGTGTTGACACTGAATTGTCTTATTATCCATATAAATGTCCAATCTCTTCTTTAATCTTGCTTGGCTTTCATGTAATGTGGCAATGAGTTCCATAGTCTAATTACACATTTTGAATTTGCACCCTTCCATTTTATTAAACGTTTCTCTTTTTTGTATTATACAGCCTATTCCATAAACATTTGCAGGACACTTTTTTTTTTTTAGATCCTGCCCTACAAATTCCGTTAACTTCAGAGTGAATGAAGGTTGCCACCAAAGTGTGTTCCTGCTACTCTACCCAAAAGTCTTGTGCGCAGACTATCAAGTTTCTGTTACAAATTTGAAGTTGCTGTACAATGAAAAATCAATTTTGTTGCCAGATTTAAAAACCTCACCGATTACAGGTACATCACAAGCCATGGAAAGTTTTTCATAAGGATCATATTTCACTTGTGACACATTTTATATAAATTAATTAAAATATTTTTAGGTTAATTCTTCAAAATCAGACAGCTCCGAGGGGTGTTATTATTTATCAAATATCCAGCTGATTAATGCAAATTATACAGAAGACTAAAGAAAGCTATGGTTCAAAATGTACAATTTTGATGTTATGTGCAGAGAAAGTCATTTCAAATTCACAAGCGTAGACATCCTATGAAAGACAAATGATTACCAGTTACAAGTGACTGTAGAACAGGTTTATGTTCATTGGAAGATTGGGTTCACTGCCATGCATATTTTAATAAGCGATGTGTCTGTTTTTATATTAACATTAAATAAATATGTACTTCATATCTGTTGATTCCAATAGGTGCAGATTAGATATTATAGCAGGTACTTTTGAAATGTGAAGATTGGCTATATTAACATTAACGAGCAATTCATTCCACATTGGACAGCATAATTTTGAAAAATGTGTCTTTTAATTTTAAATGCAAGGTGCAAATTAATCTTTTTTCAGGTCCTTAATCATCTGCATAAAAAGTTGAGAAACATGTCAAAGAAGTCAGAAGCATCCAAGAAAAAGGTACATTGCTTTCATTACCAAGCATGCTAACTTCTCAATGTAATGTTGCTTGTTACCAAAAGTAGAATGTAGAGTTGGACTTGAATCCTAATGCATCTGAACACTGAGGGTATGTCTAGATTACATGCCTCTGCCGACAGAGGCATTTAAATTAGACATACCAACATAGTCAGTGAAGTGGGGATTTAAATATCCCCCGCTTCATTAGAATAAAAATGGCCGCCGCGTTGTGCCAGCTCAGCTATTTGTCGGCACAAAGCGGCAGTCAAGACAGGGATTGGTCGAGAGGGAAAGCCGTTGTCAGCTGATCCCTTATGCCTCGTGAAACGAGGTTTACAGGATTGGTTGACAACGGCTTTCCTTGTCGACTGATCCCCGTCTTGACTGCCGCTTTGTGCCGACAAACAGCTGAGCCGGCACAATGTGGCAGCCATTTTTATTCTAATGAAGCGGGAGATATTTAAATCCCCACTTCATTGACTATGTTGGTATGTCTAATTTACATGCCTCTGTTGGCAGAGGCACGTAGCCTAGACATACCATGAGGGTTTAAAACCCAAACCTCTAACCAGATTTGAATTGTCCGCTTGTTTCCTAATCTCTGCAGTGGGCTAAACCACTATTCTAGATCTTTATACCTTGATCTTTGGATGATGTGAAAAGCAGATCCAGAGCCAGTCCCTGTGGCCCAGACCTGTTTTGGTATGAATGTACTTTTCAGTTCTCCTGTATGTTCTCACTATTTTGTAATTTTTTCCTGCTAATGTCATTTTTTATATAGCATGAAGAATTTCTGGATAAATCAGGTTTATTGTACTTCCTGAGCCTCTTTTAAAACATTGCCATTCATAACAGCTGTTTTTATTCTGTGCTGTTCAGGGCTTTAAGTTAAATACCCACTGCTAATACTGCAAATTGGATTTTGAAAATATCTTTAAATCATAAAGCTAATACTGTTTTTTAGAACTGTATTGAAGGGTCTGTATCATAGTGAATTTATTTGGTAATACAGCATATAGACTTCTAACTTTGAGCAGACTTGGCACCAGCAGGCTTAGAGAGTTGTAATTTTGAATAGATTTGAAATCATGAGTTTCTTGCCTGACTTTTGTATTGACAAGCAATAGAGTCAGATAAATCCTTGGAGCACAGCTGTACAATCTGAGCTCATGCCCATGCTGAGTCTCATTGAAGTAAATGGAACAAAAACCAGGACTATGTAGCACTTTAAAGACTAACAAGATGGTTTATTAGGTGATGAGCTTTCATGGGCCAGACCCACTTCCTCAGATCAAATAGTGGAAGAAAATTGGCACAACCATATATACCAAAGGATACAATAAAAAAAAAAACATATGAAAAGGACAAATCAAATTTCAGAATAGAGGGGAGATGAGGGGGGGGTAAAAGTCTGTGAGCTAATGATATTAGAGGTGATAATTGGGGAGGCTATCTTTGTAATGGGTAAGATAATTAATGTCTTTGTTTAGACCGAGGCGTAAAGTGTCGAATTTAAGCATGAATGACAGTTCAGAGGATTCTCTTTCAAGTCTGGTGTTAAAAGATCTTTGAAGCAGGATGCAGGTAATCAAGTCATTGAGACAATGCCCTTTCTGGTTGAAATGGCAAGAAACTGTTTTTTCTTTGTGATCCTGTCTAATATCTGTTTTGTGGGCATTGATTCTTTGGCGAAGGTCTGAGACGTTTGTCCAATGTACATAGCAGACGGACACTTTCGGCACATGATAGCATAAATTATATTTCTGGATGAGCAGGAATATGTATTCTTGATCTTATAACTCAATTGGTTAGGTCCAATAATGGTATCAGCAGAGTGAATATGTGGACAAAGCTGGCAACGGGGTTTGTTGCAAGGGAAGGTTCCAGGGTTGGTATTAGTGTGGTATGTCCTGTGGTTGTTGGTAAGAATCATCTTGAGGTTAGGTGGTTGTCTATAGGAGACTATGGGGCTGTCTCCCAGAGCCTCTCGGTGTTTAGTATCTTGTTCCAGTATAGATTGTAGTTTATTGATAATGTGTTGGACAAGTTTAAGTTGGGGGCTGTAGGTGATGACAAGTCGTGTTCTATTGTTGGTTTTCTTGGGTCTGTCTTGAAGTAGGTATTCGTCTGGCTCTTTCAATTTGTTTTTTTATTTCTCCAGGTGGGTAGTTGAGGTTTATAAATGCTTGGTAGAGATCCTGAAGTTTCTGGTCTCTGTCAGTGGGATTAGAGCAGATGTGGTTGTATCGAAGGGCTTGGCTATAGACGATGGATCATATGGCGTGTTCTGGATGGGAGCTGGAGGCATGTAGGTAACTGTATGAGTCGATGGGTTTTCTGTAGAGGGTGGTGTCTAATTTTCCATTGGTGATTTGTACTGTGGTGTCCAGGAAATGGATCTCTCATGTAGAATGGTCCAGGCTGAGATTAATAGTGGGGTGTAGGTTGTTAAAATCTCTGTGGAATGTTTCCAGTGTTTCTTGGCCATGCGTCCAGATCATAAAGATGTCATAGATGTAGTGTAAGTAGAGAAGGAGTAAAAGGGGACGGGAGCTGAGGAAACGTTGTTCTAAGTCAGCCATAAAGATGTTAGCATACTGTGGGGTAAATGGAGATACACATGGATGCAGGGCATTGCCTGTGCACACTGGATTGCTGAATCAGGCCCTAATTAAGTATTTATACTATCCTGAAATACTATTCAAGATTTTTTTAGAGGTACCATGTTAAAAGGATAAGGTATTAAATCTCTGATTCAGTAAGGTCCTTAAGAACTTTGTGGAATTGGGGCTGGGGCCTATGATATAACTACTAAATCCAAGTTGCCAACTTTTGTGATTTTATTTCACATCTTGTGACTTTTGGTTTTCTCAAATCTTCAGCTCTTGGTGTCATGTAGTCAGACAAGAATCTGAGCTTTAATTTAAAAATAAAAAGTACACCCTACTGTTTCTTAAGGGATCAAAAATTGGAAGGCAAACAACATTATCCAAAATGTTATTGATTGAAAAATATAATTGTTTTAAATCAATCACATGAGTTTTGGGTCCACACTCATGACAGTTGAATACTTGGGATTGGCAATGTATTTTTCCCCCCCCCCTCTCTCTCTTTCTCTCTCTCTTAGTACAGCTACTTTAAATTATTATGTTTTCAAATTAAAAATAACACTATTTGTCTTTCCTATTCCAACTAATGGGAGTTTTGCCTGAATAGGGACTTCAGAAGTGGATTTTTAAACTAGACTTTCATAATTATGAAAAAAGTTAACTGCAAAATAAGTGTTTTCCAGCAAACTATTTTGTATATTTACTGATCACACATAAAACATTACTATTAACATATTCGAATTATCATGTTTCCTAACATTATATTTCATGTACTTTTATTTACTTATGTGCAATGTTAAGAGTGATCCCATTAAATAAACAAGAGCAGCCCTATAATGTTTCCTTGGTTGCAGATTATACTGATAATGATGTAAAGGTAAAATTTGGAATTAGCTAAAGAGGGATAATGGAATAAAACAGATGTTGCAATGATTGTCAAACCATTATGCACAATTATGCATCTTGCAGGTACTATGTATCATAAATACGATAGATTTAAGAGACAAGGTCAACATCTATGCCATCCAACTAAGGTCAGGGAGGTTGTCTGGATGTAAATAAAGACAGAGACAAGCATTTATCTTGAATAATATTATCCATATTATTCAGCTTTGGATAACAATTTTAACATAGTCAAAGTTATGGGCACTATGCTTTTTTTCCATGTCTGCAGAATAAAAGAAATTTCTGAACACAAAAAAATAATCCATAGGATTATTTTCCTTTTATTGATGTCAGCAGAGTTTTGTTGATTTGCTCATTGAGGGCATTCTTTTTATATTCAAAACACTTGGTCAGATTGGGTCTCTTGAGCAACTGAGAATGACAAGCATGGTTCAAAGGTATGGCCAGTAGGAGTTCCATGAAGAACGTGACTTAAACAGGCACAGTATAGCCACAAGAGCAGGAGGAGCCCTTTTTAGGGTAAAGTATATGTTCCTTTTCATGGAATCAGAACTGCTAGCTGGTGCAGATTACTATAGGGACATGGCCTACACTTTTCCCACATCTTCATCTGGGGAGGTTAGCACTAATACCAAGTAGCACAAAGAACTCTGGTCTACACTAAGGAGTGGAGCATCCACACTGCTAAGCCTATTATTTCGAAATAACAGGCTGGTTATTTTGAAATCTGTTCTCCTGCTTTCCTTGGGAATAAGGCTTATTTCAAAATAGTTATTTCAAAATAGCATGTGTGGATGCTCCACTGTTGCTATTTTGAAATAACTACTCCCCAGGACAATTCAGATTATTTTCTCTCCACTGCTTCCTGGAGCTCTAAGTTTAGGTAGTGCAGCCACAGTGGCAGAGCCCGCCTCAAATTAATTTCAAGGCTTCCCCATACTGTGGACATGCTATTTCAATTTTGTTATTTCAGGAGTTATTAAATTGATTTTACGTTATATTGAAATACAGTAAAACTCCGATAGTCCGGCATCCAACTGTTCCGCACTCCTGATACTCTGGCATCGAAATGCCAAGCAGTCCTGACCAGCTGATTAAAAAGCCTGCTGCTTAGCACGTGTGCTGGCTGTAACCAGAGGGAGCATAAGGTTGGGGGAGGGGGAGAGGGAGTGGGATCGTGTTACAGTATGGAGAAGAGCATTTTGCTTCAGTGAAGGGGAAAGGGGAGGGAAGGGAGAGGGAGATTGTGTCCTGGCCAGCTGTTAAGCCGTGCAGCTGTACCAGACCTCCTGATTCTCCGGCAAATCTGATAATCCGGCACCACCTAGGTCCAAAAGGTGCCAGATTATTGGAAGTCTACTGTAGTTCCCTAGTGTAGACATGCCCAGAGTGAAAATATGCCAAATCCTTGTGCAAGTGGAAAAGATTCCTTGTGCCTCTCTGTGCCCATGTGCAGCCACTCAGGGTTGGGAACAATCCCGCTCA